TCATGTGAGCTCTCTCTCTCTCAAATAAATAAATAAAATCTTTTAAAAAAAAATTAAGCTGGTATGAGTATTTAGGTTCAAGTTTTTGTATGATATAGGTTTTAATTTACCTTGGGTAAACAGGGGAATGGCTGAGTCATATGCTAAGTATTAAGTTGAATTTTATAAGAAAGTCAAATATTTTCCAAAATATTATAACATTTTCCTTTCCCATCAGCTAGGTATGAGATTTCCACATAGTCACCATGGTGTCATCAGTTTTAAAATTGTATCCATTCTAGTGGGTGTTTAGTGGCATCTCATTATGGTTTTAATTTGCCTTCCCTTGATGATTGATGATACTGAACATCTTTTCATGTGTTTATTGCCATTCCTGTATCTTCTTTTGTGAAATGTTTTTTCAACTCCTTGCCTATTAAAAAAAAAAACCCTTAGGTAATGTCTTATTATTAAACTGTAAATGTTCTTTATATATTCTAAATAAAATACTCATCATCACTATTTTCAGTCATCAAAAAAAGGAAACAGGGACTCTCCTGGTCTGTGTCCAAACTCATTTCTCAGAAGGGCAATTTGGAAATATTACCATCAATCTTAAGACCCACGAATTCCACTCCTAAAAAGTTATACTAAGGAAATAACTAGTGATGTATTAAGAAGATTCATTATAGTTTTATTTATAATAGGGAAAAAGTAAGCCTATATGTCCAATAAAGAGGATTTGTTAAACAAACTGTGGTTCCCTCGTATTATGCAGTAATTAAAATGATACATGATATAAAATTCATGATACATTTTTAAGTGAAAAGCAGGTTATAAATAAATACACATATGCATATGAGCACACATACACACATATGGATGACCCCCACTTTAAAAATATTCTAAAAATAATCACATATTTTTTTAACTTTTTTTTATTATGTTATGTTAATCACCATACATTACATCATTAGTTTTTGATGTGGTGTTCCATGATTCATTGTTTGCATATAACACCCATATGCACCCATTGTTTGCATATACCACTCCATGCAGTACGTGCCCTCTTTAATACCCATCACCAGGCTAACCCATCCCCCCATCCCCCTCCCCTCTAGAACCCTCAGTTTGTTTCTCAGAGTTCATAGTCTCTCATGGTTCGTCTCCCCCTCCAATTTCCCCTCCTTCATTTTTCCCTTCCTGCTATCTTCTTTTTTTTTTTTTAAACATATAATGTATTATTTGTTTCAGAGGTACAGATCTGCGATTCAACAGTCTTACCCAATTCACAGTGCTCACCATAGCACATACCCTCCCCAATGTCTATCACCCAGCCACCCCATCCCTCCCAACCCCCACCACTCCAGCAACCCTGTTTGTTTCCTGAGATTAAGAATTGGAGGGTATTATGCTGAGCAAAATAAGTCAATCAGAGAAAGACATGTATCATATGATCTCACTGATATGAGGAATATATATATATTTTTAAAATATCAACAGTGGTGGGGCACCTGGGTGGCTCAGTCGGTTAAGCGTCTGCCTTCGGCTCAGATCCTGATCTCAAGGGTCCTGGGATCCAGCCGGAGTCGGACTCCCTGCTCAGTGGGGAGCCTGCTTCTCCCTCTCCCTCTTTCCTCCCCCCAGCTCATGCTTGCTCTCTCTCTCTCTAATAAATAAATAAAATCTTTAAAAAATATATTAACAGTGGTCACATATAGATAGTGAGGCAATGTTGGAATTTTTTTTTTAACTCTGTTTTGTATTTTCTGCATTTCCCAGATTTTAGACCATGGGAAAGGTGGGCAGTCTCTACTTAGTCATTTTTACTCTATCTTATTTTCAACAATTTCTGCCCTTTCTTCGTTTTTAATCCCAAATAAACGTTGATAGCTTCAACAGCAGTGGCTCTGGGGCAGGGCTAAGGGAAGACGGCTGGCTACCTGTATGAATTTTTTTACCAATATTTTCTAAACCAGGAATCGTCCGATTGAGTATGCTGTTGGGTCACATGAGAAAAGCCACTGGAAATACCTTACTGGAAATTCAGTAATTTAAACAGGTCTGCCAACAAAGACATTTTCCAAGAAGAAAAGAAGTAACATTTTCAATTTATTGGAAATTATTAAATAACAAAGAGTAAAAATTCAAAAACATATATAAAATTATTAACCTTAAAAATTAAAATATAGTGAAACTATAAAATAAGTATACAATTAAAGAACACATTAAATGAGCATCCTCAAGACTATATAAATATTGGATATTTATGAAATTCTTTAGAGATGTAATATCTATTCTTTTAATAAAGTTTGAAATTTGTTTATAATTTTCAAACTAAGGAAGTAGCAAATAATAGCTCTGCCCAATTTATAATTGTCCAAAGAGAAAGATTCCGTGTTATTTCTTGCTTGTCTTTTCTAATACCCATTCAATCACCTAGAAGGAGAAAAAATATGATTATGGTTTATTTCTACTGAAAACACAAGTGACAGAAAAAGATACACTTAAAACTTTAAAACAGTATGGTAGAAAATTTAAAATAGAAAGTTATATGTCAAAATCTTAAAACACATTTTATCTTCAAAACACATTTTATTTTCTAACTGAAGAAAATAAAACTGAAGCTGGATTTCTACTGCAGAGTACAATAACTCTCCTCACTGAACACAATAAAGATTCTGCTCTGTTTTCTCACCTTTTTTCCCAATTGTTTTCAAAGGGTCACTAGAAAGAAATTAAACCAAACTTTGAAAACAGCTATTCAAAATGGATTAATTTTTCCAGCTCTCTGGATTATTTAAAAGAAGTTTTTCTTTCTTCTTTTTTTAAAGATTTTATTTATTTATTTGAGAGAGAGAGAATGAGAAACAGAGAGCATGAGAGGGAGGAGGGTCAGAGGGAGAAGCAGACTCCCTGCCAAACAGGGAGCCCGATGCGGGACTCGATCCTGGGACTCCAGGATCATGACCTGAGCCGAAGGCAGTCGCTTAACCAACTGAGCCACCCAGGCGCCCGAAGTTTTTCTTTCTTAACATCATTTTTAGAAACTCTTTTGTTAACAGCAGTCTATTCAGTACTCCTAAATGCTCTGTTTGCGTTAGTCTATTATTAAGTATTTTAAAGAGAGTTCTTACACAGCAAAAATGACAGCATCGTAGCTACCCTGAAATAAAATAGCAAGTTAATTGAATGTAATTTCTTAGGAGAAAGTTATTTACCTGTACAGCATTGTTGTTTGCTGCTTTCTTCATTTCTTCAAATAGACCCCTTGAAGTTTTAAGATCCTAAAAATTACAAAATAAAGCGTTTCACAAGTTGTACATTAAATTACAGAGAACAAGTCATTATTAAATAAACTTGACATTATCCTAAATCATTCTACAAGTATCAATGTGACACAGGAAATACTACAAAAAAAAAAAAAATCAAAGTATTATAATTTAGCTTTATCCCCAAATATCAAGATACTCTAACAACAAAACACACATACATAAATTTCTGTCATTCCTTTTTTTTTTTTTAAGATTTTATTTATTTGAAAGAGAGAGAGCACAAGCAGGGGGGGTGGCAGAGGGAGAGGGAGAAGCAGATCCCAGGACCCCAGAATCATGACCTGAGCCAAGGCAGAGCTTAACTGACTGAGCCACCTAGGTGCCCCAAACTTCTGTGATTCTAACCTCATATTCCCAGCAGCACTAACCAAATCTAAGCTCCATCCTTGATTATGAGTATCCATGAATGCTTTGGTACACAAGAAATGAATATACAGCATTTATATTTATTTTTCAGATAAAATATCTTTTCTCTCTCTTCTTTTTGGTTATTTTACTCCATAACAAAGAGGGAATGACATAGGAAAGGAAACTGAAATCTCTGACTTTTAAAAAATATGATTATATCAAATTAGATTACAAAGTAAATTAAAAAAAAATCTAATTGTATTTAAAAAAAGCAGTCCTCTGCTGTCCCTCTGAGTTATGCTTCCCAGAGGAGAAAAAACCACTTTCAGTTTTTTCAGCTGTTTCCCTTATTTATATCTTCATGTTTCTAAATAATACGCTTATGCTGCTACTTTTTGATTTAGCAATTTTAGACAAATGATTTAGACAAATTTAGACAATGATTTAGACAATGTAACAAGCAGTTACAAAGGTAGTGGATTTGGGTCTCTGAATCCCGCCACCTCCCTCTTCTTCCTCTCAGTAACTGTTGCACCAGTTTTGATCAGTAAATAGTCAGTGTCTGCATTATTATACCTATGTACATACAGTTCAGTCCTGAGCTAAGTAATGTTATTATAATTATCTTCTCACATTTCGTTTAACCTGTAGTTAAATCATATTTGCTCAGGTTGCCATGTATGTAATTCTGAGTCCCCCCTGCCAAATGCTGCAATTGATTGATTAAATGCACAAATAGCAAAGTTGTTTCAAATACTCAAATACACTGGGTAACCTCTCGGTTCAGTTTTTCAAAAAATCTGATTTTCATTATTATTCTTATTTTTTCCCCTGGCGATCTTTCTCCACAGCCTGCTCTGATTTAGTCTAACTGCTCCCTGGGTTAGTTCTTATTTCTTGACTCAGTCCCCGTTCTGCTGAACTTCATCTTCTTGCAGTTGCTTCCAAAGGGTATACAAATGACAGATTTTTTTAGGCCTTCACCATCTGAAATATCTCTACCGAATCCTCACACCTGATTGAATTTGTGACCAGGTATAACATACTAGGTAAATCCGTTTCCCTCAGATTGGAAGATACTTTTCTACTGTCTTCTAGCATACAACATTACTTAATGTGGAGAAGTCTAATGCCATTCTGATTCTCAGTTCTTTATATGCAAACTTTCTTTCTGGGAAGCTTTTAAGAAGTGTTCTCTCTATTCCAGGAGGTATGGAATTCCACAATGAGGTAGCTTGTTGTAGAACTGTCATTCACTGGGATGGACAAGCTGTGTGCCCTTTTAATCACGGCACTTGTGTTCTTCAGTTCTGGAAAACTCTGTTAGATTTTTGATAGTTTGCTCTCCTTTATTCTCTATTTTTAAAACTTCTATCATTAGCATATTGGATCTTCTGGATTTAGTCCTCCCATTTTCTGATCCTATGTTTCATGTTTTTGTCATCTAATTTCTGGTAACTTTCTTAATCTCAACTATTCAGCCTCTCTATTGGATTGATTTTATCGTATTTTTAATTTCGAGGAGCTTTCATATTCTCTACAGTTTCTGGAAACAGCATCCTGTTCCAGCTTTATGGATGCGATTATCTTTTTTCTGAGAGAATTATAGTTTTTATAAAGTCTTCTATAGCTTTCTGCCCCTTAAGAGTTCCCTTCATTCCTTTATGTTTTGGCATCTCTTTTTTGGAAAAGTCTCAAAAGTCTGCTAATCCTTGGCAGTCCAATCATATATAAAAATGAGATATAAATCTTAGTGGAAGCTCTGTCTGGTGGCTTTACAAGGCAGGGTTATAAGGAGGCCAGTTGGTTTTTCCCTTGTGGCCTTTAATTCTTTTTTCTCCAGAGACTATTTCCTGCACTGTCACAGAGGTGGGGGAAGAGAAGTACGTGCAGTATACCTTGTAGTCACCCCTGTGGGAGAAGGACTTGTAGGGGAAGTTGAGGGATCCCCAGTTCACTTTGTAGATCTTTATTCAATTCCCCTATCTTCCACCTGACACCACACCCCTGCTTTCTATGATACCCGGTATCTTCAAATCCTAAGCACCTCGGAGACTGTGTCCCTTGAAGTGGTTTGATTCTCACTGGCACTCCACTGGGCAGGCATTTAGGTTCGAACTTCTTTAACTCTGTGATACCACACTTCTGTGGGCTTTGTCTTGTTCAACAAGAGACTAAACATTTTCTTCTCTCTTCTTTTCTTTGTTTTTGTACTTTAATACCATCTTTCTTGAGAGATTTTAAAAAGAAGGTGAATTGAATGCATGCCAGGAGCCCACACAAAACTGTGACTGACTCAAAAACTCTTCACTGGAGATAATCTAACACCATCTAAGTTTTATAGACACATCATCTGAATGGCTGATCTGTCCAGTGTGTCATAACTAGCTGATAATGGAACCAAAATTAGAAATGGGGTATTCTGATACCCATTCCAGTTGTCTTTTTACTATATACTAAAATTACTAACTAAACATGTTTGAGGGGTGCATGGGTGGCTCAGATGGTTGGACATCTGCCTTCGGCTCAGGTCATGATCTCCAGGTCCTGGGATGCAGCCCCATGTTGGGCTCCCGGCTCAGTGGGGAGTCTGCATCTCCCTCTTCCTCTGCCTCTCCCCCTGCTTGTGCTCTCTGTTTCTCTCTCAAGTGAATACATTTAAAAAAGCTTTAAAAAAATAAAATACACATGTTTTGAAGCTTATTATCAACTTAAGCCAAAGACTAGTCAGGGAAATACTGAGGATACCAGTTAAAATGTAGTTTTCTACATATGAAGACAAAAATCAAAGTCAGATATAAAATATTTTGGCTCCAATTTTTCTATCTCCACTTTAAAAAATATCTGGCAACAAGTTATAAGTTATCACTGTAAAAAATACTCACTAAATATTACTTTATGTCAAAGAGGAACATCAGAACATGACTTCAATTTTGCTGTTAGTAGAGAAGACACCGTACCTTCAGATAGAACTTGGAGATCTCAAAGAGACGTTGGCTGCATGCAGTGAAACATCCATGGGCCTCAGTAATGCTGTGTTTCTTCAGGGTTTCCGTAACTACCTCTTTCAGTATCTTGAATAGAACATAACGTATGATTAATATTTCTTGAAAAAGGTACAAACGTATTATTTTATCTTTAGAATTCAGTTCTGTGAATTGCATAATCATGTAACTATGTGAAAGACAGATAAGTTCATTAAGATAAAACAACTGGTAAAAAAAAGAGATCTGGAACATTTACATGGTCATACATGTCATCAGATAATTTGTTAGGAAGAAATGACTGGAATATCTTTTTTTTTTTTTTAAGATTTTATTTATTTATCTGACAGAGAGAGAGACACAGTGAGAGAGGGAACACAAGCAGGGGGAGTGGGAGAGAGAGAAGCAGGCTTCCCGCTGAGCAGGGAGCCTGACGTGGGGCTCGATCCCAGGACCCTGGGATCATGACCTGAGCCGAAGGCAGGCGCTTAATGACTGAGCCACCAGGCGCCCCATGACTGGAATATATTTAAGAGGAATTCAAATCATGAGTTCTGAATCAAAATCTGGGTGTAAAAGCTACACACATTAGGGATAGACAAGGGGATGTATTTATTTTTTATTATGGTAAATTTCGAACACTGAAAAGTAGAGAGAACATTTTATAACAAATCCTTATCTTGATAGATCAACCAGTTTCAATGAGGATCAATTTGTGGCTAATTTTGTTTCATTTATAGCTCTGCCCACTTACCCATTATCTTTCTTACATTGGATTGTTTTAAAGTACATTATAGATACCATTTCATTTCACTCATAAAATTTTAGACATACATTTTAAATGAACCAAATAAAGGAATTTCTTCTCATGTAGAACTAAGAGACAGGAAATAAATCTTTACCCGTGTGTGTTTCTGTGATCTTGATTCCTTAATTTGCCTTGATGTTTTTGATCCATGCACACTTTTTTGACCTGAACTGGCCTTTGTAGTGACTTTTGGAGTTTCATAGCTTAGAACTGGAACTGATGGACAAGTCACAGATAATGATCGCTCTGCTCGGGGTTTTCTGGATGTCACTGCATGATGATGATGATTAGTATTGCCACTTGTTTGAGAAAGAAGAGAATCTGAACTTTCAGACTTCACAAGTCTATTGTGGAGAAATACATCAAAAACACAGATTAAGTGACTCAACACCGAGGTCCATTTTTCTGTCCCAAATGTGACAACCAGATCTACTGAAACATAAACCCATGAAAAGCAAACAAAATTTCTTGCTACTACTGCTTTAAATAAGTAATGTGACATCATACTATAAAGTTGCTCTCTTAGGTCTTCAAATGAGTGACTAAAACATACAAAGCAAGGAATAACTAGAATTTCAGCTAATTAGGAAAAGCAACAAGCAGTTATCACTGTCGCCCTCCCCATCAATTTATAATTTCTCACATAAATCAGCTCTGGCACTCTAGGTGGTGAAATCTGTAAATTTCATAATCATCTGTTAAGTACTTATACTTTTCTATGAAGATAATTTTGACAAAGACATCACAACCTATGCTTATTGTACCCATGTGATTACCCGGGCTAAATACGTGCTAAATACAAATAAAACTACAAAATGGGCTCATGTTTCAATCTTTTGAAAATGTTTAAATTTCATTTTACAAGATAGGGTCTCATATCCTTCAATTCTGCTAACCCACAGGCCACAGTGTACTTTCTTTTCTGGAACACATGTCTTTTTATTAGTCGCAAGTCACAAATAAGAAATATTGTTACAAAATACAGTATCGGAAATGTTAATGGATTTGCTTTTTAGCTTTATCACATTTAAAAAGTACCATGAATTTGTAAAGTCCCCATAAAAATAATTTAGTTATTCCATACCAGGAAAATAGTATTCTAATATTTTTAACTGCTCAAAAAAAAAAAGATTTAAAAGTCGCACTGTAATAATATTTTATACTTTTTGAAAGATTTACATAACAGTAAGAATTTAAGATTCTTTAGATGCTAAAGACCTAAATTTGACAAAGATCCTAAAGACATATAAATTCAATGGAAATGAGAGTGTTTATGAAAACTTCTGTTCTAGTATATGGACATTTTACTTAGCTAGCAAAAAAAGGATCTGGAAAAGTTCCATATAATATTACGTAGTGTTTAAAGTTACAGGTTACAGAAACAGTGTTTAAGGGGCCAGCGCAGGCAGAAAGCAGTGCGAGAAGGCAGGAAGACCTACAGCAAGAAATACCCTCTTCGATAAAGCAGCTCCTCTACTTAATCTATTGGATCAGACCGCTAGTGTTCCATGGCTTAACAACTTGACAATCCATCGTGCTAATTGCACTGTATATTAGCACAGAAAGCAAGAAATTGTGTCTTTTCTAAGTCATTTCTTTTTTTATTTTAAAGATTTTATTTATTTGACAGAGACACAGCGAGAGAGGGAACACAAGCAGGGGGACTGGCAGAGGGAGAAGCAGGCTTCCCGCGGAGCAGGGAGCCTGATGCGGGGCTCGATCCCAGGACCCTGCGATCATGACCTGAGCCGAAGGCAGACATTCAATGGCTGAGCCACCCAGGCGCCTCCTAAGTCATTTCTTTTTATAACTTATAAGCATAATCATAACTGCTCACAATAAAAATAAAATTCCTGACACAAAGGAATTAATCTATGATCTATGCAGAAAGCTACTTAAAAATAGGAAAGACTAATTTGAAAAAAAAAGATTAGGGATTAACATGCTTTCTGTCAAGAGACTATTTTTATGCACTTAACAGATCACCTTTTTTGTGGATAAAGGCAGTTCAGATCTTTTGATCTCCTTTTCAGTCGAGATACTTCAGTTCGGAGCTCGCTTTGTAAGGCTTCTCCATCAGGGACACTTCCAGGCTCTGACAAGACGGCAGGTGATGGAAGAGGGCTCAACACAGTGGGTACCGGAAAACTTTCTCTGGTGCAGGTGGTTTGGGTTTCGTAACGGATAAGACGAGACTGAAGTTCAGAAAATCCCCCATCTCTTTCTAATGCTTTTTGGTCATCCAAGCAATATCTAAATAAGAGAAAGACCATCAAAATCACAGTCTCCAAGACAGCAACAGACTTTTCCCTGCCAATGAGGAAACAGCGAAACACTTACTGGAAAACCTCTTACTTAACTTCCTAATAATTGTTGGAGGGTTGAGTGAATGGCCGACTTCCCTCACAGTTCAGTTTTTTTCTAGCCTGCTAGATGACATGGCAAAAGATTAAAAAATTTGAAGTACGATCTGATTCCTCTTTGACTATTTCTGGGCAACAGATTAAGTTAATCCTCTGGTTTATTTTCAAAATAATAGAGTTGCTGTTTTAATACTCTTAAATCCCTACCAACCTCTGATTCCTCAGTATGGCTGATATGTAACAATGTGAAATGCTGACTTCTGTTAGAAGGGGCAAGTTTATTTTCAACAAAAAGATGAAAAGGGTATGAAGGTATATTCTAACTGGTTCACCAAACACAGCTCAGAACATTTTGAATTTTTCTTTGAAACTCCCTTCCCCCATTACTGCTGATCGACGGATTTTTCTTCAAACACTTCGGTTGTCCCTGTGTATCTGGTTTCTAGCTAAATCTGACTCAAGAAATCAAGATGTTAGCTCAGGGGGCGCCTGGGTGGCTCAGAAGGTTAAGCCTCTGCCTTTGGCTCAGGTCATGATCCCAGGGTCCTGGGATTGAGTCCCACATCCGGCTCCCTGCTCAGCGGAGAGCCTGCTTCTCCCTCTCCCTCTGCAACTCCCCCTGCTCATGCTCTCTCTCTCTCTGTATCTGTTTCAAATGAATAAAAAAAAAAAATCTTTAAAAAAAAAAAGATGTTAGCTCAGTGAATGCTTCTGGACTTAAAGAAATCCCATGTTGTTAAGTACAACAAAGAAGCATCTCAGGAAAATCACCTATGAGATATGTGACCTTGGACAACTCTTCACCTTCTCCTCGTCCACAGCTGCATCAGGGAAACACAAACGGCTTCACAAATGTGATGGGAGGACTATCAAAATTAAACCCTTTCTCTGTTAGCTGTCTTCTTGGCTTGTAAAATTCTAAGATGCTCCCTAAAATCAGCACTTTGGATCCAAAAGCTTTTAGTTCAACTCCCAAGGAGCATATCATTACCCTAATATCTGAGTGCCTGGTGGAAGATTTAGGGACTTTGTCTTTCCCTTGTGACACTTTCATATTTGATTTCTAAGAGCTGGAATCCCTGGACTTAAATCTGGCTCCACCACTGAGGAACTGTTTGACTTGGCCAAATTACTTAACTTTATCTATGCTTCTGCTGGCTTCCTCTGCAAAATGAGATTTATAGCAGTCATTTCCAAGAGCTACTGTGAGGATTCCTTATGTGTTCCTTGGGTACGTGTAGGCACTCAGAAGTGGTGCCTAGAACATGCAAGCAAAGCAGTCTATAAATGCATGCTGCTGTTGTTATTGTTATTATTATTATTAGCAGGTTTATCTTCTACCACAGCAAATCTTATAGTATGCACATTATTTAAAAAGCTGTCCAGGTGATTCTAAAGCATAGCTAGGACTGAAAAATCTCCAATTTAACCCAGCAGTTTAATTTAACAGGGGAGAACACTGAGCTCCTAAGTCAGAATGTGAAGTGGTGACAAAACAGTAACTAGAACCTAGGTCTCCCAGTTCTGTAACATTCTTGCTCTAGTCTGTTGTTTAATAAAACACAGTTCATTAAAAACCAGCAGTAACTCTAAGGATTACTGATGAGTCCTATTTCTCTCCTGGGCAACTGACAGAATCGAAAAAAAAATCAAGTACCATGAATGTTAAGGTTCTAGGCAAGAGGCAACGTAATGCCTGATGAGCCTATAGAAAATTTTTTGAGAAAAAAAGATACAGTCTGATTCCAAATGAATATATTTTTCTACTCTGAGATTTTGAATCTAACATGCAGATATTTTCCTTCCAGTTTTAATATCTCTTGATCACAGCTGTTCATAACGTCATTCCTTCAACTGAATTATGTGTACTGTGCCTGTTGACTTTGCCATTTAAAATGTCTTCAAATGATTATACTATGATCTGGCACTGAAGCAAAAAGTACTTTGTAAATAATAAAGGAACAGAAACAGAGAGGCAGGGTACATATTTGATATTAGTCAAGTAAATATCCATAGTTGGATGAATGACTATACTTCCATATTTTCTTGCAAAACAATAAACAAATGCTTTAGGCATCCAAAGAAAAAATATCTTCAAGAAGACGGAACTATTTTTGTTTGGTAACTACATAATAGGCAAGATACTTCCTAGCACACACCAATGTCAATGAAGGCAGGAGAACCTGCCAAATCTCTTGGAATAGACGAAACAAATTTGAAACCAACAGAAGGCTGGTGTGGCCACCCGTCACAATTTGACAGCAGAGTTTAATTTGTTGTTAAAGAAAACACTGCATCTTACAATCAATGGTATCTAACACTCCAGGGTAAAATACATGAAAAAACAAACAAGCCAACAGTGGAGATATTTCATTTTGTCTTAAGAAAATACTGATTTGTACTTGAGCAGTCTATATATGTTTTTTCCAAATATTCTTTATGTCTGGGTATAGGAAGAGCTCAAGGATTCCAAAGACTTATAGCAACATGAGGAAGAGAGAACTCTCCTGTCAGCTTCATAATTACTTTGACACCCTACTAGAATTTTGTTCCAAGTAGATCCATTATCTCTGTTGAACATAGATCTTCCTGAAAAAAGCATGTTCCTGGATTCACTGTGCTCACCTCCTACAACCTTCTTAGTTTGATCTCAATGCCCCCAGGTTAAGGAGCATAAATTTAGAGTAAAGAAAATGGAGTCACTGAAAGATTTATTTGTTTATAGGGGTAGGTAGTTGCTATTGCTCATTTTAAAGTCCTCCAATTCTTACTTCAACTGTTTTTCCACACACAGACAGAAGTGTAATGTTATTGTATGTAATTCCTTGTTATTGCTGAGGAGTATTGCTTTGGATACATATACGAGTTTATTTATCTACTCTGTTGACATACACCTAGGCTGTTTGCTGTTTAGGGCTATTATGGATAAAATTGCTCCGTATGATCTTGTTCAAATCTTCCTGTGGAGTTGTGTTTTCATTTCTCTTAGGAAAATGCCTAGTATTGGAACTGCTGAACCATAGGATCTGAGTATGTTTAGTTCTTTTCTGGAGTAGAGATATCATTTCATACTCCCACAAGCAAGGTGCTCAGTTCTAACTGTTCCATGTACTTGGCACTATTTATCAGTCTTCAATTTTAGCCATTTTGGTGACTGTATACAGAATTTTATGGATGTACTATAATGTATTTAACCAAGCCCCTACAGGTAGACATTTACAATGTTTCTTATTTTAAATAACATTATGGAAAATACCCTTGCATAATAGCTTTCAGTGTATACCACTTTTTTTCATCAAGATAAATTAATCAATCTGATGTTATAAACATTTGCATGGGTTTGGTAAATTAATGAATAGCCCTCCAGGCAGGTCGTAGCAACTTATACTTCTATGAGCTGGCTTACTCATTCATGTTCCTTCATCACTAACATGACTTCATAAGTGAAAAGTATCCTCACTGTTGTTTCAATTTACATTAAGAATGCAAACTAAAAAGCAAATTTTAAAAAGCTGATAAAAACAACTTGTCATGTGTATCAGTCATTTGTATTTCCTCTTTGGTAAGCAAATGGTTCCAGATTTTGCCAGCTTTTTCATATTTTATTTTCTTATTGATTTGTAAGCAATCTTTTTTTATTTTTAAGATTTATTTTATTTGTTTGAGAGAGAGCAAGCAAGGAGGGTGCGTGAGCAGGGGAAGGAGCAGAGGGCAATCTCAAGTGGACTCTGGTGCTGACTGTGGAGCTGACGCTGGGCTCAATCTCATGAGCTTGAGACCCTGACCGGAGCGGAAATCAAGAGTCAGATGCTTAACCCACTGAGCCACCCAGGGGCCCCAGCATTCTTTAATTATAAAAGAAAACACCTTCAAATTTATGTTAAAAAATATTCTCCTCAGCTTAATCCTTAGTTTAAGGATTTCTTTTGCTTCTGTTGATTATTGACATTGCTGTTTTAAAACTAGGACAAATCTATCATTCTTTTCTTTTTGGTTTCTTCCTCAGTTAGAATGAATAAAAAAGTCTTCCCTACACTTAGAACAGATTTTCCCCTGAATTTTATACTAGTCCTTTCCTTTCACAGTTTTTCACTTTTAATTCTGCATGTATCTGCGATTTATTTTGATATTTGGTGTGAACTAGGAATCATTTTAAATTAATTTATTTTTATTTGCATATTTAATCATATTCTCACTACTACCTACTGAATATTTCATCTTTTGCCCTCTGATTTGAAATTTTTCCTCTATTAGATCAAATTCCTATGTATATTTGCTTTTTTCCTTGGATTTCCTATTTTGTTCCAGTCCTACACTGTAATTATAATAGCTTTATAATAAAATTTTCTGGTTATATGATAAAATTAATCTTTCTTTAAGTAAAAAGAAGGAGGCTTCTTTACCAGATAAATTATAGAATTATTTCACCCAAAGGTTCAAAGTTGTTAAAAATTATATTAAATATTTATATTTCTTCCAAAAGAACTAATGCCTTTGGAATATGGAATCTGTCACAAGGAAACAAGGCATGTTTCCGCCAAGTAATCAACGTCGTTTTTATGTCCCTTAATATAGGTTATTTGCAATTTTTTCCATTCTACATTTCTTCCAAAAATACTTCTAATATTTATGGCTTTATTGCTATTTTGAATGAGATCTTTTCTCAGAGTGTTTAAAATTGGAAATGGCTGGTTTAGAGGTAAACTAGGCTTTTTATACGTATTTTATCACTGGTCACTTTTCCAAGTTTACTACTTCTAATAATCTTTCAGGTCTCTTCTCTGCAAAACAAAAAATAAAAACAAAAAAATACTTCTATGGTCTCCTTTTCAATACTCTTTTAAAGAGTTTATAACTCTTTTAAGCTCTCTAGTTTTCCTTATTTTAACTGACTAGCCAAAACAATGATTAAAACAGAAACATTCAGCACAATGGGTAAAAAAGAAAAAAGCAGTGATAGCAGGTATCTTTTAAAGTCTTGCATCTGACTTTAATGGGGAATTTAAGTCTGATGCTTGAAAATAAAATAACTGAATATTTTGCCTCTAGTGTCAAACTTACAAACTCTTTAAGTGAAATAAATCTTATTTAAACATAGCAAGGAAACTAAACATTCCTAGAATGCCTTGTTGGGTGGCCTTCCATACCTTCCATATTTTCTCAATTGTACCACCATCTATCCAATGTGCCCAAGCTAGAAACCCTAAAAAAATTCTTGTCATCTCCTTCTTTCTCATCTCCAACATCTAGCTGGTCTAAGGTTCCTTAGATAGCTATTAGTTTGTATTCTCTTTCCTATTTTTCACTGCCTTGATAGCATTTTAGTCCTTCAACATCTGCTTGAAATACTTCAACTCAATTTATCAAAAGCCAATGAGATTTCTTTCAATGGCACAAACCCAAGCATATAATTTCATGGTTTAAAATTAAAGGTTTTTTACTCCTCAAAAATAAAGATCAATCTCCCTCCCATGTCACTAGTGACCTTCATGACTTCATAATTTGGCCTTATTATACTACATTTATCACTCTTATTCAAAAATAAAAATCTAGGGGCACCTGGGTGGCTCAGTCAGTTAAGCGTCAGCCTTCAGCTCAGGTCATGATTCTAGGGTCCTGGGATTGAGCCCGGCAGCAGAAGTCTGCTTCTCCCTCTGCCCCTCCCCTCTGCTCATGTGAGCTCTCTCTCTCTCAAATAAATAAATAAAATAAAATAAAATTTTAAAAAATAAAAATAAATAAAAATAAAAAATGAAAAATAAAACAATAGAAATGTAGTTTATCTTCCTAAAATCTGTAACTCTGTACTTTGTTCCTCCCCCAGACATTGCCTTTTCTGCCAGGTACACTCTATTCAGTCTTTCAAAGTTAGTTCAGATTTCCTCTTTGAAACAATCTCAAATAGTTCCTGGCATTTAATTCTTCCATCCACCAGGCAGATATCTGTATTTTAACACTATTTATACTCTACTAAAATTATATGTTTTCTTTCTCCCCTATAATAGTATATGCTTCTTAAGGGCAGAAATAATTGTCCTTTGTATCTTTAGCCTCTGAGTGAATGACTATCCGTATTTTTAAAGTTTACATGAAATAAAGATTAAGTTCACAAGCCAATCAAAATAGGATGTTTCAGGCAAAATATTTTACAAAATGAATCGCCAAGGTCTTGAAAATCTATCATAAAATATTTTATCACCATCACTGAATTTCTCATCCTTGTGAAAATGGTAGATGTGCACATAACCTCAGAAACTGCTAATCCCTTTATACAAGAGAATTCTTTGAAATTTTATTCAAGCTGGTCAATTAAAATTCTAGAAAAATTTACAAATAATTAACATATTACAAATGGGAACACATTTCATCTAATAGTTTCTGAGTAATTACAGTGTAATTAGTGACCAGGAAATATTAATGTAACCAGTAGTATAAATACACATTTGTAACATAGGGATGAAATTAATTTTGATTAAAACATCTGGTAATAATAGAATATTTAAATGCTTCAAAACTGATCAACCATCAAATGACTTTTTTTTTTTTTACAATAGAAGACAAATTCTTATTTGTGTACACACTGCTTTGTTTTCTGAGATTTTTTGATATACTTTCTCTTTGGCTTTATATCTGCATCATTTTATTACAGATACTCTTCACACTCACAAAAGAAAAGCCTCACCAGCAACATGCAGAAGAGTAAAGTGTAAATAAAAACTTACTCAATCCCATGATAATGACACACTGAGGCTTTTTCAAAAGGTAAACCCTGAAGTTTCCGAGGACTAAGTTCCGGTGTCAGAATAAAAGTCTTTTCCCTAAAACAAGAAGTTTTTCATTTGTATTTAAAGTTTATTTAGTGAAAAAGAGAAAGTTCAAGAAAGCATCTAAAAGACGAAATCTGACTTCCTTCTCTGTAAGTGAATCTTACATGGGATAAAAATTATGTAACATCAGAAAGCATAAGAAAGAAATCAAACAAGGTTAAGCCTAAGTGGGTTCTGTCACTTATATTTTCTGTGCCTCAAGTTTCTGAAGTTATGATGTTATTCATTTCACAAAACTATTCTGAGAAATGGATAAATCAAGAATGAAAAATGATTTGTAGTGGAAATTCAAGAAGCAGCATTATTCCTGAAGGATTCTTTTTCTTGGTGTAGTGAACTAATGTTTATGCATTTAGTTAAGTTCTTTTTTGCAGGAAAATAATTAAAGTCAATTCAAATCTTTTGGTAACAAAAGTATTTACTTCCTACTATAACACATGAAGGATCCAGATTTTTCTTTGCCTGGGAATGTAGGCATCTTGACACCTACTCTAAGAGTTAGCAACCTGTTAAATATCAAAGGATATGGAGACTGCTGACTTCCATTATGCTTTTGAAGTAGATTTCCAATCAGCAGGTATGTGAGAACTAATCATATGGTGAGCTTATGTAAAATATTCATGCTCAACCCCTTCCTTACCCAGACCCGCAGGGGTATATCAAAATCTCAGGAAGAAAAAGGTCACTGTAATTAGGTTAAGCTCTCCTGCTTATTCTAAGAGGCATCCACTCCCCCCAACCCTCGCCTTTCTCTTCCTGAGTTGAGAGGCACTGTTCTAATGCACTGGATCATGTTCCTGAAGTTCAGAACAGGTCAGATGGGAATGGGAGAAAAATGCAATGGTGCTTTTACATAGTTAATAGAATGAAATACCAGGGGCCTCAATTCAGAAGACTTGGAAACGGTATATAGAAAGGCAAGCAGATAGTATAGTTCCATGAATAAGTGTGCTCTCACATTTTTTGCCCTATGGCTTTAATAATGAAAACTGCCCACTTGCCACTGAAAATTATTGAGGGTACTATAATAAGCATTTGAAATTATTACATTAAAATGTAAGGCATATGCTAAGTATGAACCTTAGAAAACAATTTATATTCTAATGCATCCACTTGAAGTGTTTCACAAAAAAATAACACTAATTAATTGCAATGATCCCAGTATTTTGATGACTCACTATTAAAATGCATAATTTCCTAATATAAAATGATTTAGGCACCTAGCATTTCACTTCTTTCCCTTACCTGGGTGTCTTCCATTTCTTATTTCAACACTCTCAGCAACTTTATGTATTTTTCTTTAGATTTACTCACAACCTATTCTTTCCAAAGGAAACGTTTTAATTAATATGTATTTTGTCAGTGTTTAATATTTCTTTGGTATACACACAGGAGTCATACCTGCACTTTCTTTAACATTTCAATAGCTCCTTACATAGGTAGACATTTTAATAAGAGCCCAAAGGTTCTTGATTCATTGTTAGGAAAGCTCATTCTTCAACTTCAATGTTGATAAAAGATTATTGGGTAATGATGTCATTCGTTACTAACACGAAGGAACTGTATCAAATTTCCCTAAATAAAATACCTATAAGTTACAGAAAAAATAGTATCTCCCCTACAAGTGTATCTCCTAACATTGCATCTAGAAAGATAGTCTGTTCAAAAAGAGTACAACCTATATAATTCAGTTTTGGCAAATCTGTTCAACTTTGTCAATTCACACCTAATAATCTGGAAGGACAATAATCTGATAGCTAAATAGATGAAAAATGTGTATATACTTCTTCACTGTCTTGATTCCCATAAAAAAGATTACCAATCTCTCAAAGCTATGAGGAAAGCTATGAGTCAATAATGCTTAATGACTTTTATGTCATTAAGATCATCAAGTCATTAAAACCCATAATTAAGATCCTCAAGCTTTCAAAGTTGCTCCTTCTCTCTCTCTCTCTAGTGAACATTCACATGAAGGCAATATGTCCAGGATTATTTTTGATATACAACTACCTTCAAATAAATCCCTACCAAAGTATACCTTTAAAATCAATATTTGCCAAAACAAGTTTTGTAGAAGTGATTAAAATGATCTATAATTTTTAAGGTTCTCTGGGAGGTCTTCAAAATAATGGATTAACAATTAAGATGGGATAGTGATCAAATGATTCAAATCTCACAAGTAACTGACATCACAGTTTTACCTGTAATTAAGTCAACTTCAGCAACATCTGGTATTTATTAACTAGTAACTTAGTGGAAGTTGTCTTGGAAGTCAAATTAGCAGTAAACTATTCATATAGACACTGAGTACTCAGTAATATTATAGTTTCAAAAGCATTTTTATTAAACTTTTCCATTCTCTTCAGTTGAAAGGCTGTGCTTTTTGCTAATATTAGGCATGACATGACAATGTCATGACAGGTAATGGCAAAATCAAAACTAGAGAATAATGTAGAAAAATAATTTTAAAAATTTGCAAGCCAAATTATAATTTTTCCTTAAATAGCACTGTCCTTTGTATACAAAGTAGAAGCTACTGACCTCTGTAGGGAATAAACTTAGGTTGCTCTTGCTTTTATTATCCTTGTTTTCCTTACATTCAATAACACAAAATAATAGGACATTCGGCTAAGGTAAAATGTGAGGATTAAGTCCAACTGATAAACATTGGGATCAAACATGTGAATTCTGCCCAAGCAGCATAGGGCATCGATTAACTAAGGAAATGAGATGCAATGTGTTTTAAAATGATTTTTAAAAAATTAATTGGCAATTATAAGTTTATAACTTACCCCTTTTGGATCTGTAAAGGCTGAAGATCTCCAATTGGTAACCCATCTGAGGTAAAGAATTTTAGTAATTCTTTAGCATCCAATAATGTGATCGAGTCCCGTGGACCCTCTTTGTGACCCAGCAACTGTTCAGATGAACGAGGTAATGAACCAGTTCTGAGAAAATAATGTTATGTAGATTATTAAAAGTGGGTTAGAATTCACCATAGTCAGGAAAAGGTGATATGAGCAGAAACCAGAACAACAGACAAAGAAAACTACAGAACTATATATTTAGGAAAGAAAATAAAGTAAAATCTTTGTGAATCATTTAGTATAAAAGTATATTTTTAAAAATCTGTAGGTCACAGTGAAATTTGTAGTTAACCATGTCAATAATGCTACTATTTAACTAAAATAAACATAATTATATTCTTTATAAATGACATGAGGAGCACCTGGGTGGCTCAGTTGGTTGAGCATCCAGATCTTGATTTAGGCCAAGGTCATGATTTCAGGGTCATGGGATCAAAGCCCCGCGTTGGGCTCCACACTGAGTGGGGAGTCTGCTTGAGATTCTCTCTCTCCCTCTGCCTCTCACCCCTGCTCTCTCTCTAAAATAAATCTTTTAAAAAAATAAATGATGGCATGATTATTTAGTAGTGTGAAGTTACCAATTTTATAAAATTTAAATCTAAGTGTTTTTGTACGTTCTGAAACCCCATAATCTCATAAATTTTGATGGTAGAGACTGAATGAACTTGAAAGATTTTCTATGAACTTCAAAGATTACTTGAAGCACAACCATGAAATGAGACATTAATCAAAAATCTCTCCCAAGGTCTCTCCTAGCATGATTATAACATTATGAATAAGCACTGGATCATTATTATACCTGAAATATATACAGGAGTTCATACTTCTCAAACTACTTTAGATACAATATGTTCTTAATCCTCACAAATTTCCTTGACAAAGACAGAACAAGTCTTATCTCAAAATGAACACCTGAAAATAAGTACTTTCTAAAGTGAAAGCATACCAAACCTAGAAAAGAATTATTACTAATTTCAGATAAAGATACTACCACACATTAGTTTGTATTACAAGCCCAGGGTGACACAGCCATTTAAAATGACAGAACCAGACTGACTCTGAATTAGGTACTATTTCTATCTACACTCTCCCTCTGTAAACCCAAAAAGCTCACAGGAAGTTTAAAAACTGGAAAAAGGAAAATACTTTACTTTCAGAGAATGGTAATGGTTTTATCAAGCACTGAGTCAGACCATGCTATTGCTCTGTCACCAAAGCTTAAATAAACTCTTTTAATACCTGTGCAGAAAATTAATTTCATGACTTTCTATTAATACTATTTCCTGATTATTTAATCACTCCAATCAAGCATACTTATTGGTGATTATATGATTAAAATGTTGACATTATGGTTTTAGACTTCTATTTCTAAAAAGATCAAAAATGTACCAAGAGTGTGTCCCTTTCCCCCTCCTGTCCCCTTTATTTTTAAATTGAAAATATAAATCTAATAAAAATAGTCAAACAAGAAAATACTCAAATGTTTTCTCTGAACTTCATACTCCAAGAGGGTAGGAACTACATTATGAGTTTAATTTAATTTCTATATAGCTATTCTCTAATTGTGATTCACAAAGGTTTCTTAATGAACATTACTCCTAATCATTTTATAGGCTAGGTGGATTGGGGACATGTATAATTTGCATTTATATAGGACCCTGGACACAAAGATATCAAAGCAATTTCAAAGCCCAGTTTGTGATAAATTACACCACCAAGATATATCTTGGTTTTAAAATCAATCAATCAATCAATAAAATAATAGCACTTTATTTTGTCCAGTGTTTGCAAGGTTACAAAGTATTTTTTCATACATCATCTCATGAAGCATTGACAACTTTGAAGTAGAACTGGGATTGTTATCTCCATCTTACGGATGAGGCAACAAAGTCACACAACAGGTGAGTTTGTCCAAAGCCAAATTCTTTTATTTTATTTTATTATGTTATGTTAATCACCATACATTACATCATTAGCTTTTGATATAGTGTTCCATGATTCATTGTTTGCGTATAACACCCAGTGCTCCATTCAGTACGTGCCCTCTTTAATACCCATCACCGGACTAACCCATCCCCCCCCCCCCTCCCCTCAAAACCCTCAGTTTGTTTCTCAGAGTGCATAGTCTCTCATGGTTCGTCTCCCCCTCCGACTTCCCCCCCTTCATTTTTCCCTTCCTACTATCTTCCTCTTTTTTTAAACATATAATGTATTATTTCCAAAACCAAATTCTTTTTTTTTTTTTTTTAAAGATTTTATTTATTTATTTGAGAGAGAGAATGAGACAGAGAGAGAGAGCATGAGATGGGGGAGGATCAGAGGGAGAAGCAGACTCCCTGCTGAGCAGGAAGCCCGATGCGGGACTCGATCCCGGGACTCCAGGATCATGACCTGAGCCGAAGGCAGTCGCTTAACCAACTGAGCCACCCAGGCGCCCTCCAAAACCAAATTCTTATGACTTCTGAATTTCACTATGTAAAGCATCCTTAATTCTCCAGTTAATCCTATTTTAACACAATACAAATTCTGAAAATATGCAAAGTAACTTTTGTTCCCAACCAAGAATTCAATGACATCTCCCCATACTGTGACGTACTCTCAAGTATTTGAGCACTGACTCTGTAAATATCATTGGAAGATACTAAAAAGAGTTCACTGATGATAATGTATAGACTCATAATCACTGCGTGTAATTTAGTAATATAGGTATGATTTGAGTAGGAGAAAAGGAGGTAAGGACAGTAAAAGGAGATAGATATACCAATGTAGAATGAGGTAAAAAAAAAAGGTGCAATAAAATAAGCTTCATGAAAGAAGTAATGATATAGTCCTTGGGTGCTTAATGAAGAAAGAGAACACTGAGTTGTAACATTTATAAAAGGCTTAAGAGAAAGGTGATATTTGATTGAGACTATGAATGACAAACAATCTAGTTCAAGATGATGGTGCATTAAGCATCATACAGATAAACCTCTCCACTCAAACAAATGGAAATCACATGATGAAGTACCAGACACTAAATTCCTAAGAAGGTTGAGAAATGAAAGATGAAAAAATGATGGAACAAACAAAAGGGATAAACTAGAGCAAGCATGTAAATGAGACCTAGAGAGAGAAACTTACAAAAAAATGTGGAATCTGTCTTCTTCCCATCCCACAATGCCACTGTGAGACTCTACACATGGGCTGAGTGACAATGGGCAGAAATCAGGCAATGTATTTTAAGAACCCTACTAGAACAGTTGTTCAAGTATCACCCTCCCACACCTCCCCTTATCCCTGCAATTTTATCTCCAAGTGAAAAACAGAGAAACTGCTCTCTGAAGATCCAGAACTAGGTACCTGTCCCAGTCTCCGTGCTGATGCCCCCAGAATAAAGCCCTGTTATTTCAGTCTTGGGTGAAGGACCAAGGCTGCCTACCTTCTGATACCCCCATAGGTGCCCTAAACTCTACTAGGTACGCTCCACTCTCCCTACCCACAATATTCAAATAAGAACAGGCGAGAAACATGACTACACATATAGAGAGAAAATAAACACCAACTACCTATATAAACCAGCTTCGTACTAAATTCCGACCTAGTAACAATCAAGGACCATCAGACATGGAAGGAAAGCTACACATAAGAAAAAAACACCAGAGGAACAAACAGAACAGATACAAGAATAATGAGATCACTAAGGAACAGAGAAAACAAGTTAAAAGGAGATTCCAATTAACATCCTTTTAGTATCTTCTGAATTCTCATTATTAACAAAAGAAGAGATCGCTAATGAAAAAACAGAGTTGAGAACAAAAAAAAATTATTAGGAATTTAAAGTATGACTATCAAAAAACTTAAAAGATGAAAGCATAGGTCAAGAAAATATCCCAGATGTAGGAGTGCTGACAACACTGACTCCATCTTTGGCCCTCCGTCTCGTTCATGCAATGACCTCTCTTAGGACTACATGTTCCAGGCCCCTTGGAGGTTGATGTGTGCCCTGACCAGGATGTGGAAAGGCTTGTTCTGATCTTCCCTAAAGTTGTTTAGGTTAACTAGGAGAGACAGCCTAGTTTCTTCCCCTTTCTCCTCTCTGGCACACAGATGGCTCCACCAGATCTGTTAAACCCTTTGACCTCACTACAATGACCTCTGCCCATCCCCTCACTCTTATAAAATCTGTAGATTAAAGTCCGGACTTTGTGGAGAATAGCTGCACAGTGCTGGGTTGTTATCCGCTTGAAACCCCGTCAGTAAGTTACTCTGAATAAAACTCTGTATGGAAGGTATGGAATGGTTTGCTTCGTTTTTATATTTCCAAGTGCCTTCTCAGTTTGGAGGATACTTTACTGTCTCTCCTCCACCTTCTAACACCCAGAACATAGAGCAGGAGAGAGAGTCTGGAAAGGGATCCACTAAAATGTTAACAATGATGATGTACACACAAAAGTGTAAGTAGCAGGTGAGGAAGAGCAGTGTTTTCTCAACATCCTACTCTGTAATGCTCTATCTACCTATCTACTTACAGTATGCATGTATTCCTTTAATAAAGGAAATATTATTTCCTATTAAAACTAGAAAATACTTATATTTCATAAACACAATGTAAGAATTAAGAAAAAAATGCCCATTTAAAAATACTGAGCTATTTAAATATTACCTCATTTTTTGTTTAGCTTTTTCAAAACTTTCCAAATTTTGAAGAACATGCCTTTCTGGCCATTCCAAAGAGTTCGTTTCCGTTAGATTTGAAGAAGTAGGTTCTACTGAACTGGTGTCTAAAGTGAAAGAAACCTACGTAAGTACTGAAAATTATTAACATATTGAATTTTGCTATATGAAAACATATACATGTAGATAGATCCATCTATCCATGTGCACATGCATATGTGTATATATAAAGCCGTGTTGGATTAACTGTGCACTACTTACCTCAGGCATTTAATAAGGATATCTCTGATGGCCGAAACTGTGCAAAATGCCATTGAAAAGTTTTTTGAAATGAAAAAAAAATCACTGTTAAGCTTTGTTTATATTACTGTCTCCTCATAATACAAGTTATGAGCTAGAATTCAGAAAATGAATTAGCACTATGAGGACTCCTGTGGAATAAAAGCATAACTTGCTTATTTGTGTGTATGTGTGTGTGTGAAATTAGTACTAAATGAAAAGGAGGCAATTCTCTGGAGAATATATTGGATATACTATGTGATTTTCATACCAGAAACAGGAATTAGCAGCATTATCCAGAAAAGTTCATATTTTTGAAAGAGATTACTTCATTCTCAAAAGTATAATAATACAATAAATAACATAGGATGTTCTCAGATAAAGGTTACCTTAGAAAGAATTTTCACTTATCCATTAATGTAAGATGCCTTAACATATACATCTTCAAGTAAATCACTAACATTAAATGTTATTTCACTACTAATAAAATATTTTATACCAGAGTGTGTTTATCCTTCTAGCTAGTATGTTGCAATGAACCGAGATTACTAATAACACTACAATTAGTATCAAAAACATAAAGGGACAGCTTCCATTTGCATTATAAATTATTAGTACATCCAAACTATTTTAACACTGTCAAAATTACTAACTGTACAACTTTTTGGATTCCCAAAATATCTGGTTTTTAATATTGTTTTGAGCTATTACACACTATTCTAATAAATTAACTGAAAATTACTGGACATTAGTTGTCTGACTATTAATTCTGACAAAAATACCATTTTATGCTTTGAAGTCTTACAAAATGGTGATTTGGTAAAGGAATTTTTATACAAAAAAGAAAACACTTAAACATAAAACCGAAGCCAACTGCTTGTTATTTTCCCTTTATTCATTAAACTACTTAACCTTGAACATTTTAAAATATCTTTAATGACTACATTGGATTGCCCCCACCAAACACCATCCAAATATACCACTTCCCATTTCATAATAAGGGTAGTGAAATACTATTTTATATAGCAATAAACTTTATAATGAAATAATCTACTTTTTAATGTTGACATGGCTTTCCACTAAAATCATAAAGCAAATATCATTAGCAGATCTGAACAGTTAGATGCTGAGAACTCAAAAGAACACAAGTCATGTTAAATAAAAGTAAACATTAATTGTTCTAAATATTACAATATAATTAATTATTAACATTGACTATACAATTTACATAAATATAAATGACATAGGCTAAATAGTAAGGAATGAATAGACAAACATTCATATGTACTTTTGGGTAATAATTTAATACAATTCTTACAGGAAAGTAAGACACAATATTTTATTTATGTGGCAGTCAGGACACTAGGACATGCTGACAACCAAAAAGCATAAAAAGGGCTTCTGAGAAACCAAGAACACTGCTTTTTTTTGTTTTTGTTTTTTTTTAAGTGTTTTACTTTACAGGAGAAACAGAGAAATGAAAGTGATGCAGTAGGGAAATAGGGACTCAAAACCTGCCCTACACAAATCAAGGCAAACACAAAGGAAGTAATACAGCAGGTGATAATATGTGCATAGTAACAGAGGCCATCATAGCCTTACATACACAAAGCCTTACAATCACAAAGAAAAGGTTATATTATAATTGGCATATTCTGTTTAATAAAGCAAGAATTATAAACACATACCAGAAGATTTTTTTTTTTTAAGATTTTATTTATTTGACAGAGAGAGACACACAGTGAGAGAGGGAACACAAGCAGGGGGAGTGGGAGAGGGAGAAGCAGGCTCCCCGCTGAGCAGGGAGCCCGATGCAGGGCTCGATCCCAGGACCCCAGGATCATGACCTGAGCCGAAGGCAGACGCTTAAAGACTGAGCCACCCAGACGCCCCTAGAAGATTCTTATTAAAATATTTGAAATAATAAAACTGTGATCTTATGAAATTACCTAGAAAACTCATTTATGCAGTGTTGTTTATGTGCTCCAGTGGCCTGAGGTAAAGGAGAGAGCTGCTGCATTTTGAGTTCAGATATTACATTTGGCATTGTGAAGGTTTTTAGCAACTTTGTGGCAATGAGTATAGAAAATGGTTAGATCAAGACATTTTCTCCATGCTGATTTTCATGTTACACATGCTCGACTGCTATAGTTTTTATACACACAAAAAAAGGGAAAACAATAATCTTGATGATTACCAATAATTCCTAATGAGCATGGTTATTAAAGAATGGGATCGGAATATGAAACATGATTGACCTTATTGGTTCCTTTGCTGTATAATTTGCATCTAGATGTATTTACTCAAACAAAAGCTACAAAGGATGTTAAAAATCACAACTCCATTCTTAGGAGTCATGTTCAAACGTATAACCTGTCAAATTTCAGTTCAGGCTCTAAAAAATCTTCAGGGTTTCTTTCATTTGTTCAGTATTATTTTGGGAGGAATGAAATATGCCAGGTACGGTACTAGGCTCTAGGGCACTGAAGAAAGCAAGTAGGCACACTCCCTACTCTCAGAGAACATATGGTTCACAGTGAAGACAAACAGTTAATAAATAATTACATCTATAGTATATAATTTAACATAGGAAAAATAACTTAAAGAAAGATACAGAAGATGAGTACCACTGGAAACAATTTAAAATGAGGAAGGTCTGGGAAAGCCTCTTAGAGGAGGTAACACTTAAGTCAAAATCTGAAGAATGACTATCAATTAATCAGGTAAAGACTGGGAGAAAAGTATTCCGGGAAGAGGACACCGCGTGTGTCAAGTTCCTGAGGTGGAAAGGAAGGTGACGTGCTCAAGGAATGGAAAGACTGTGGCACCAAGGAAACAGAAATGTGACACTGGAGGAAGCCAGAAAGAGTGTGAGGGCAGACATCTTTTAGGGTTTTTGTAAGCCATATTAAGGATGACACATTCTATGTACAATGGAAAGCAATGACAAAGGTTTGAGCAAAGGAGTAATATAATCTGATTTACATTTTAAGATGAGCACCCCTGTAAGCTCAGGGTGTTAATAGTGTCCTAGGACTTGATTTTGTATGAGTAACTATAAGACACATTTCCATACTTACAGAAAAACCCGTGCAATGATCACAGCCCTTCCTACCTTGTAACTGTTAACTCCTGCACAAATTCTCTGAGTAAGCCAACTTTTCTCTGGAACTCAGTCTGCCCTTTCTTACCTCTATGACTCTGGGTATGCAGCTCCTACCTCCTGGAAAATCCTATCTTCTCCACTCTACCCAGATCCTATGCATCACTGAAGGCCTACATCCAAGTCCCTTCGCTCCTAACAAAATGTTCTGTGACTATCCTACCCTAGTTATATTCCTCGCCTCTAAATTCACATTCATTTATTTAAAAACAAATATATAGCACTTCACATCAGGCAACTTTCTAAGCAATTTATAAATAATACCTTTAATCCTCATAACAACATATGTCATCTCTCATTTAAAGATGAAAAAAAACCTGAGGCTCAGAGAGGTTAGAAAACTTGCCCAAAGTCATACAGCATGTAAGCTGCAGAGCTGCATCCAACCTTGTTAGTCCAGCTCCAGAGCCCAGGCTGCAACCAAGAAACTGTCTCCATTTACTGAACACATGCCCCCATTTACAAGTAACCTTGCACTGTCTCCAACACCTGTCAGATTATTCTGCACGGTTACTGACCGTTCGTACTGATACGTCATGATGACAATCATGATAATACAAACAGCTAATAGTTCTTTGGCATTTACTGTGTTCTTATATGCATCAACTCATCTAATCCTCACAATAACCCTAGTGAGTGGCTAATATTATTAAGCCCATTTTATTTTATTTTATTTTTTAAAGATTTTATTTATTTATTCATGAGAGACAGAGACAGAGAGAGAGAGGCAGAGGGAGAAGCAGGCTCCCAAGGAGCAGGGAGCCCGATGAGGGACTCGATCCCAGGACCCTGAGATCATGACCTGAGCCGAAGGCAGACGCTTAACCATCTGAGCCACCCAGGCGCCCTATTAAGCCCATTTTAAACATGAGGAGGCAGAGGCAGGGATAGGTGGGATAACTGCCCAACGACACTCAGAGAACAAGTGACAAAACTCAGACTTGAGCCCTGGCAAGCGAGCTCCCGAGCCTGGGCTCTTGAAACGGCACTGTGTGCTGTATTTATATTTTGTTTTTGAAATAGATCATAACCTATTGAAAGTCAAGGATCCAAATTTTTACTTCTGTGTATACCTTTATGGTGTCAAACAGAGAAAGGTACCCCACAAACATTACTGTTAACTTGACTCTTTGGTTATTTTCTTATTAACCAATGGAATAAAAATGATTCTCAAGGAATAAAAACAAAAAATTACCCTGTACGTTTAAAATGCCAGGCAATCATCAAATGCTTTCCTGCTAGATCTTGTAAAGCTTCACTGTATCCAAATACATCACAAGAATAGGAACCAGGAAAAGACAAAGAGTTACAAGTTAATATAGAAATGATTTCCTGCTCCTTCAGTGAAGTTTGGTGACCGTTCCTACTACAATGAATGGCAAATGCAGAGCATCTTATTGTAGGTAGTTTTAACTATAGTCAACTTATTGTGTAGGTTCTACTATTCTCATCTTCCGAAAATATGGCTTAATAGAAATCTGCCCACTCTAGGAGCTTAGTAAAATTAATAAGAGGAATCACCTTAAAGTGCTTCTCCCTCTGCTCAAAAACAATTATATTAAACATGCTTAATGAAAGAAGTGACAGAAATTTTTTAATGTTTAAATGATGAGAAATACATACAAAAAGAACCAGTATTCTACAAAAAACTTACCATTTAACATATTGGAGGTTTTAATTTTGTCTGTCTTTATTGGAATTGTTTTAGGAATAAAGGCATCAAAACGATCTAAAAAGCGTTCCCTTGTGAGTATTAATAGACTTTTGAGTTCATCAACTGAAACTACTTCAGGCTGCTTTGCCAACTTTCTCCTTTCTGTAAGACAACAAAACAGTATGATTAACCATATAACTATTATTTTAAAGACTCTCAAGAAGTGCATCTACTACTCTTTCATGATAAATATTTTCAAAAGTAAAACAGTTGAATTTCTCCAGCAAATCAACATTCCTATGTAGGTTTTCATTTTAACCCAATTTGTAGGTAATGATAGAATTTCCAGTTATGTGCGATAAACAAAAATAAAGTAATCTGTTCACACCATGAGGTGATGAATGGTAAAGGCAAGTTTGCAAGTTTTCAGAATATACCGCAGAGCACTAAGAACGTTGGTGTTTACGTGAAAATAAAACTTGTAAGACTTTGAGTTAAATGTGGTAGCTTGGCCACTTCCATCTGTTTCTTCTCCTTCCCAAAACCTAAACTCACAGCAAAGGAATTTAAAAAAGGACAACAAAAGCAGAAACAATAAATAATGAGAGTTTTGGACATTTTGGAAGATCAGATGATGGTGGAGTGGTAGCTGAGTTGGTGCAGCAGAGGGAGGGTCAATTGGGTACCTAGAGAGGCACTCCTATGAGGTATTAGGAAGATGATGGCGAGACAGGCTAAAAGAGGACTGCGTGCATGGATGTTTAGGGAAGGAGCAGTTAGAACTAAAGGTCTTTATACCCCACCCTCCAGCCCTCACAGCCAGGAGACTCTGTTCTCATTTTTTTTTTTTTTTTTTTGGTAGAAGCTGAAAAGGAGTCCCAGCTTAAGCAGCATCAGGCACACTGAAAGGTAGCACTGAAACTGGAGTTAAAACTGGGGGACTAAATAGAAGTGTACATACTGAGAGGTCTGATTCCAAGCCCCGTAGCGGGAAAGCTAGCAGCTATAAATGCTCCACTAGAAAGATTAAGGAGTCCCCCTTTTGAAAAACTGAATGCCCCTGGAGGAAAGAGCTTCATCCTGATATTGAAGTGCAGGTAGGGATAGGAGCTCACAACCAGGATGACTTGTCACTCTACGACTCTACACTGCAGCTTGCCAGATAGTATATTAGAGCAAGGTATGTAAAGCTTCCCATTTAAAACAGTACAGACAGAAAAGAATCACCAGACATTTAAGGAACATAGTGATTTGGGACACTTGGGTGGCTCTGTCGGTCAAGTGTCTGCCTTCAGCTCAGGTCGCAATCCCAGGTTCCTGGGATTGAGTCCCTCATCAGGCTCCCCATCAGGCTCCCTGCTCAGCGGGGAGCCTGCTTCTCCCTCTGCCTGCAACTCCCCCTGCTTGTGCTCTCTCTTTCTCTCTCTTTGTGACAAACAAATAAATAAAATCTTAAAAAAAAAAAAAAAACTCCCTCTGCCTGCAACTCCCCCTGCTTGTGCTCTCTCTTTCTCTCTCTTTGTGACAAACAAATAAATAAAATCTTAAAAAAAAAAAAAAAGGAACACAGTGATTCGATGTTTATAGCAGCAATGTTCACAATAGCCAAACTATGGACAGAGCCCAGATGTCCATCGACAGATGAATGCATAAAGAAGATGTGGTATGCATTTGTGTGTGTATTTATATGGCATTTATATATAAATAAATATATATAGGAATATTACTCGGCCATCAAAAAGAATGAAATCTTGCTATTTGCAATGATATGGATGGAACTAGAGGGTATAATGCAAAGTGAAATAAGTCAGTCAGAGAAAGACAAATATCATATAATTTCACTCATATGTGGAATTTAAGAAACAAAACAGATGAATATAGGGCAAGGGAAGGAAAAATGAAGTAAGATGAAAATAGAGAGGGAGGCAAACCATAAGAGATGCTGAACTCTAGGAAACAAACTGAGGGTTGCTGGAGGGGAGGCAGGTGGGGGAAGGGGTAACTGGGTGATGGGCATTAAGGAGGGCACTTGATGTAATGAGCACTGGGTGTCATATGCAAAAGATGAATCATTAAATTCTACCCCTGAAATTGATAATACAGTATATGTTAACTACACTGAATTTAAATAAAGAATTAAAATTTAAAAAAAAAGAAAAGGTGTTGAGGAAAGAGGGGACTCTGCATTTCCATAGTCTTACGTTTACACATATAAGGAAGGACTTTGATCCAGTAACACTTCTAGCTCCTATCTCCCTCCTATCACTCACTGAGCTAGTCTGGAGAAGAAACAAGGCATGCGCTGATCAGATCCTTCTCTCCAACTTTCCTCTGAGCTAGCAAGTCCTCAGGATGCATGCTCTCTACAATGCGGTAACCCTGCCCCCATAGGGTTGATCTTCATTTGCCTAGTTCTTCATTCAAGGGGGGGAAATTCAATTCTGGGTGTTCAGAAAACTCACCTGGCCAAGATCTAAAAAGTCATATCCTTCAATACAGCTTTTATCTGTTATTTATCTCCATCAGTGTGTTTCTTAGTTTTATTTTTCAATTGGTTCCAACTTTGGGAGAGTAAGGGGGTTTATTTATTGGGACCCTCAAAATAGAAAAAGTCCAAGATGAAAAAGAGAGACTAAAGCAAGCAAAAAGGAAAAAGGAGCCCAGCAGAAACAAAAACACTGCAGGGAACAAAAGAAAGCTTGCTATAATTAATATTCTCGTAGAACTAAGAGAAGATACTACCCCCCATGAAACAAGTACAGGATTCTTTAATAAAGGAACAGATGATGAACAAGAAAAGACTTTTAAAAATTAAGTACATGAGAGCTCAAATTTTAAACATTCCATAAAAGGGCTTAAAATAAAATGGAAGATATTGCCCAGAAACTAGAACAAAAAGAAAACAATATGGAAATAGGAAAGAAAATTAGGTGTTCGGTCCAGAAGAGTAGGTATTCTGTCCAGGTATTTTTTATATAACTAATAAAAGTTCTAGAAAGAAAAAAAAACAGAAAAGGAAAGAAAAATTATTAACATTTTCAGGTTTAAGAATGTGAATCTTCTATTGAAATGGCTCATCAAATACATAGCTTAATAAATTGAGGACAGAGAGGGAGGACAGAGAATACATACACACCATGATTCAGAGTAAAGCTTCCAGGGCCAAAGCTTCTGAAGATAAACATTCTAGAAAGGGGTTAAAACAAAGAAACCAAAAATAAAACACTATAAAGAATAAGAATAGAATTGGGTTTCTCAATAGGAACACAGTCACACAGAAGATAATAAAGCAATGTCTTCAAAATTCTGAAGGTAGATGATTTTCAACCTAGGATTCTTTATGACCTATCAGTCAAGTGAAGATATTTTCAAATACGCAAGAGCTTAAAAAAATTTACGTCCCATGAAGTTTTACTCAAAGTAGTTACTGAAAGATATGCTCCAACCAAACAAGGGAGTAATCCAAGAAGAAGGACAAGTGGTCTAGAAAAAAGGAGACTCCAAAAGAGGAGAAGAAGAAAGAGAAGTCTCTAAAATGTTCCGTTATCAGAACAAAATATTAAACACTCTGAAAAAATAAAGAGAAATAAAAAGGACCTGCTGTGTTTGAACATACAATGAATTTAATGATAAGTGTGTAGAAAAATGTTGGAGCCTCTGGAAAAACATAAAAATACTTTGCCACGGGTGCCTGGGTGGCTCAGTTGTTAAGCGTCTGCCTTCAGCTCAGGTCATGATCCCAGGGTCCTGGGATCGAGTCCCTCATCGGGCTCCCTGCTCCACTGGAAGCCTGCTTCTCCCTCTCCTGCTCCCCCTGCTTGTGTTCCTGCTCTCACTCTCTCTCTGTCAAATAAATAAATAAAATCTTAAAAAAAAAAAATTTGCCTGTACAGACGAATGGGCAAATTAAAAATGATCATCAACCATAAGAAAAACAAAGATGATACAAAAGAGTGATAATCATTGTATATTACATGACTCAGTGGTAAACTTATGCATATAGTGATAATAATGTTAAAACTAACCACTGATTTAACCAAAATTCATGACTTCATTGTAAAGGGTAGAAAGGGAAACTGAAGATGATATGAGAAAGCTAAATGTTTATCTTTCATAGTTAGATGCTAAGATAATGTCTGAAATTTGCAAATTAATAAACAGCAGCAAACGCATACTAGTAACAAAAGTGGAGGAAATGTTAGGAAAACCAGCTGGAACAGCTGCGGGTCACTGCCTACAGACGGAGACTGAAAGATGGAGAGGAGACCGTAGGGTACTGCTGGTTTCCACATGAAGTTTTTCAATACCATTTACATCTTAAACTAGACCCATGTATTACTTTTATAAAAATATTCCACTTTTAAAACACTTCTGGACTAATAACATTTTCTTCTATAATAAAATAGTAAATTGTAAATGCACAGAGAATTCACTCCAACATTTATTAGGTACTGTCTACAAAGCACTGTGCTGTGCCCTCAGACACAGAGGATTAGAATCCATTACCATATGAGGTTGAAACATAAATAATGCAAGAGAGTAGGCTGAGAAGGAAATAGCCAGCCTAGAGGCTCTACTTTAGAACATCAGCTTTACAACGATGCCTCTGCAAAATCCCACCATAGCAATGTGGATATTGGTAGGGTCATTCCAGTTGTGATCCAAGGTAAGTAACACATGGTTCCTGCACTCAAGAACATGAAGTAAGACTGTAAAATATGCTGCTATTATTACATCTTCTTAGTCAGAAAATAAAAAGCTTTATTGCCAATCTGCTGGGAGCCATCTAAATGAAAAGTTATCAATGGTTTGTTTTCATCTGAAAGATGCACAATAGGTAATGTGCTTCAGAATTTAGCTCTACATTTTTATTAATGTTAAAAATAAACTTAAATCATGAACTGGACCATGCTTATTAAAGTAGTCAATTATATTATGAAATTGGGCTATTTGGAGAGTAGTGTAAGACTTCCTCCTGGCCTTAATGACCGAAAAAGAAAGAAGAAACAGATGAAGTTTAACAAGGTTATGAGCAGAATAATTTACCTAGGCAAAAAATATTCTCTACACAAATGAATTTGCACACAAGTGAGAAAATATTTGGGAGAAAAATATTTGACTAAAGTCTAAAAATGAATCAGCAAAAGAATACTATTCCTAAAAAGCTAGCCATAACTTGGGATCTATTAAATAAAAAGATAGAGTAGAATATTCAAAAGTACCAGAGACTGAGTGTCAATCAGGTTTGTACTAGGTTCTATAAATTTAAAACAGATGTGGGAAACTCAGAGGAGTGACTGCAAACTGGAGCAAAATGACAACCCTGTTGTTGTTTTGGTATTTGTTTTGCATCATACTGAATAGTCTTTTATTTAAAAATTGTCTAGCATTCTTAAACTTTTTCTTTAAAAATCAGTGAAACAAGATACTTAATATTTCCAAATTCAAAAAGTTACAAACCACCAAAAAATCAAGTAAAAAAACTTATAAAATTATAAATATCATTCTAATATTATTAATATAATTTTTAAAAAATAAAACTACTGGAAGTAATTATTCTAAAAAATTAAACCATAACAGAAACTTTATTTGATTTTTGTGTTATTTTAAACAACAAAGTGTCTTGATAATGTATGCACATTTTCATGCAAACTTTTCCAGTTGCTCTTTCTGATTCAGTACTGGGGCAGAGAAATAGTGGGGAGATAGTAAGTCTACTCCATGTCTTGTTGATAATTTTGAAGAAAAAAAAAAATCTTCTTGAACAACTTCTTATTTTACAGCAAAGGCTATAATCTTTGTATTGATTCTGAATTGTTGATTTTTCCCCAAAGAAAGCTGTTCATTAGTTACATTAGTTTTTAGTACATTAGTTTTTACCATGTGTAAATTAATTAACTATATCACTTTCACTACTTTTATATTTATATATCATTTCTTTGAAAGTCACTGAAATACACTCAGACATTCTTACATCAGAAACTTCGTTTTGCTGTCATCTTGTCTTTGGAGATACAGGAATTCTGAACAGATGCAACTTTACCCCAAATTTTTAATCCAGTATTGACTCTCTGGGTAGAGAAGAGGTTGGTTCAGCTAGTATTTCCATCATAAACTGATGAACTGGATCACTAATTTTATCACGATGTAATGCTTTGGACTGCAAACTGGTCATTTCATGGATATGCCTAGAGCTGGTATCTCCAGCAGCTACTAGCTGTAAGGTTTCCCCCAACTTCAAGCCCCCTCCTTGTCCTTGCACCTTGCCGAGAGCTGTGGCATCCTTAGAGCTGCGGTACCGCTCAGCCGCTGGTGCTCCTACACTTTCGGCATTTATTGAGCACTTCCGTTTCCGCTTCCCGCAGCAGAGCTTCTGATCACACCTGCAGGCAGCAGTCTAGTTAGAGCTGTCAGTATTTCTCTTCCCACCTAAACAGGAGAGCTAACTCTTCCTACCCAAAGCAGAAAAGCGTCAGCTTCAGAGAGCAACCTATTCTTCTACTCTGGCAGATTTTCGGGTTGGAAGGATGAGGAAGAGAGGTGAAGATGAAGGAGAGAGGAGATATTGAGGGAACTAAGTTACAAAAAGAGCTGCAAAAGGCTTAAGGCAAGGGAGCAGGGCCTGACGACGCGTTTAGCGGGGACAGAACAAAGTCAAGAGGTAAATAATACTGCAGGTTGATATTTGAAATAAAGATTTTCCAGCCACAAAAATACTATTCCAGTATTTATTCTTTTTCTTGGTTTTAACATGTACTACTTTTTATTGAAACTGATTTGCCTTTCTAACTATATTTTCCTTGAGCTAATATCATTGATACAATTAAAAAAAAAGGGGCGCCTGGGTGGCTCAGTTGGTTAAGCGACTGCCTTCGGCTCAGGTCATGATCCTGGAGTCCCGGGATCGAGTCCCACATCGGGCTCCCTGCTCGGCAGGGAGTCTGCTTCTCCCTCTGACCCTCCTCCCTCTCCTGCTCTCTGTCTCTCATTCTCTCTGTCTCAAATAAATAAATAAAATCTTAAAAAAAAAAAAAAAAAAAAAAAATCAATGGTTGGAGAAGTTCAAGACTACACAATCACCCTGATTTGTACAACTGAAAAAGTAGGTAATTCTTAAAGAATAATTGAGACCAAGTATTCTAAAATTATTTTCCGTTGAATAAAACAGGCTACTGAATTGAAGATATTTTTAAAATGCTTTTAAAGGATGATAGTTTTTATTTTATAATGTATCTAATTAATTCTAATATCATTTTTTTCATATGCTACTAAAGAGGCCTCACAATTTTAATCAATTTCTTAAATATTCCATATCAGTTACCTTAAAATAAGTTTATATTAGGTACTAATGAATGATTATTTATTAAAAAATATTAAGACTGATACCAACTAAACATTCAGTAATAGAGGTAAAACCTTAAACTATGACCCTTGGAAAAAGTGTTAATTTCCTGAATAAGGAAAAATCCATAATGCTAACTTTACTCTGCACATATGTGAAATGTGTTATTATTAATAGTCATGGTTAAAGTCTAAGAATCAATGCTCAAGTTAGCATATTAATTTCTCTGTAGTTGTATTTCCCTCTATTTGTAGTCTTTATCCTCCTGATACAACCAAAAATATAAAATGAGGAATTTTATAAAAAATTCATATTAATCAGAATTAAAAAACCATAGCTACCTTTTTCAGTACACAGTTAAAAAGAATGGAATACAAAATTTTCCTAAAGAAATATTTTTATAGGGGTGCCTGGGTGGCACAGTCAGTTGAGAATCCGACTCTTGATTTCAGCTCAGGGTCGTGAGATCGAGCTCGGTATCGGGCTCTGTACTCAGTGAGGAGTCTGCTTGAGACTCTCTCTCCCTCTCCTGCTGCTGCTCCGCCCCTCTTTCTCTCTCTCTCAAATAAGTCTTTAAAAAATATACTTTTACAAATGTTATCAGTGATATATGAATAAATAGGAAGATTCTGAATCTGGTGGAAAAAGGCTGCAGACCTTTTCTACTCTGCATCACCTCTATCAAGAATAGTTCTACAAATGAGCATTATACCTAAAAGACAAAGTAAGAAAAAGTATGACAGTAACAATGCATTGCTGAACAAGTCAACATTCTTAGAGTAAAATGAAATGTACAAATCATTACTTACTCAGACATTCTCTCAAAGCCAAAGCTTGAACATTAGCTAACTGTTTCTCTCTCTGTATAAGTTGCTCGCCAGAAAAATGTGGAAGTGACAAGAAGTCAAAAGGAAAGCCTGAGAAATAGAGAAAAGTAAGTATTAAGGATGTTCTATGACAATAATGTTCAGTTCCCAGAAAATGTGTTATTATATAATTTTAAAAAATAAAAGCCAGTTACTCAACTCTCCTGCTCTTGCTTATTTCAAAATAATAATTAAGATGCAGAAATTAGGCATACTAAATTATTTTGCATTTTAAACCCTGACCTGCCTCTTAAATTGAGGGAATTTAGATAACAGAGTAGAATTTCCCCCATCACATTTTCTTTTATGGCCTCAGCTACTGAAAGTCCTACACAAAGCACAGAGGCAGTATGGCAGCTCGTCTCTAAAGATGCTCCCAATCAACCACACTTACTATTCACCCATTGTGTAGTCCTTCCACAATGAATCCAGGTTAGCTCTATGAAATCAAAAAGGTACTACGGTAAAAGTGACAGTGAATGAGTTCAGGCTAGGTCAAAAAACCTGGAGGCTTCTTACAACAATGCTCTAAGAGAAGATAGCAACCAGGTAAGAAATCAGACTACCCTGAGACTATAGTGTTGTAAGGAAGCCCAAGTTGGCCATGAAAAAAGAGCCTGTGAAGAGAACGTCAGCTCTCATCTGTTCCAGCCATCCTAACCCAGGAGCCAAACAGGTGGGTGAAGAAGTCATCTTACACAACAAGCTCCGTTAAGTCTTCAAGTGAATAGAGCCCCAGCTTTATGTGGCTGCAAACGTAAGTGGGACTTTAAAATAGAACCATCCAGCTGAGCCCAGTCAACCCATAGGACTATGAAAAGTCATTTTTAAGTTAAATTTGGAGTGGTTTGTCATATACTGATGGATAACCAAAACTTGGAACTTGGTGAAAAAAAAAAGATGGGCAATAAAATGGAACAAGATGCTTGAGAGGAAGTACGTAAAAATGAGAGATAAATTATAGAAAAATATTATCTGTTTTAAAGTGTGTTTTAAAGTGGAAAATACAAACAGGATGCCTGGGTGGCTCAGTCGGTTAAGTATCTGCCTTCAGCTCAGGTCACAATCCCAGAGTCCTGGGATCCAGCTGCTTATTGGGCTCCCTGCTCAGTGGAGAGTCTGCTTCCCCCTCTGCCCCACCCCCTCATGCTTCCACACGTGAGCTCTCTCTATGAAATAAAAAAATAACATCTTTAAAAATAAATAAATAAAGTGGAAAATACTAAAAATTTCCTATTTGGAATCAAAGGCTGACCTACTAAATTTTACTAAGTATAAGGGATTAATTATGTGTACTTTAAATTGTTCATATATGCTATAATATGTTCAAAATAAAAGGTAAAATGAAAGTGAAATGGAGTTTGGGGAAAATAAAATCATTAAAAACCACATAAGTTAACTGCATATACAAACAAATATAAAAACGTTTTCCACCTAAAATTAACACTTACTCAGTTTGGCTTCTTCTGTCCTTGCTTTCATCTTTCCATGAATTAAACTGAGTGCAAATGAGCCATTGATCTGGTTGGCTGAGTGAATCAATGTGGCTTTACATTTTCTATTGCCATTACCTTGTAACAGGAGATAATAGCTAGAACACTCTCCTTTCACTTCAACATCTGGAACTAAACAAAAACAATTATTTTGTTAAGTATGTGAAAATTCAGCATGCAACATGGCAGAATCAGTCATTTGACCCATAGGATATAATGATTTTCTATGTTATTTGAAAACAAGCTCTTATGCAACCTCTTTTGGGTAGCACTTGTTCATTTAAGTCAGAAAACTGAAAGCAGAGGATCATAACAAAAATGATATAAAGCCTACACACTTTACTTTAAAACGATGTGTCCTTGTTCATTACCTTTTGATATGGCCCACTAGACTTCCACGATATCTTTCTTATATGACCACACCCATAATGTACCAACTACTATGTCCAGCTTCTTTTTCTTTAAAATGGAATTAACTGACCCCTGTGAGCACATACAAAATTCCACTGGTGCAGCAGAAGTGTACAGATACACTCCAAGGTAGCTTTTCAGTCCCTGCAGTGGGCATCCATAATGTATTTTACAGAGGGAATGGAGAGCATTCATTAATCTGGCATGCCAGTTACATGAAGGTCACTTAAGACAGCTTCTTGTATTTTTAAAAACAAATCAAGTGAGGGTTATATTGAAGGTCAAAGAAAAACTGTGAAGCCTTTGAGATTAAAAATAGAAGTAGAGTCCCTTTTTTGTTGAAGATGGTAAATGGACATAAGCATTCATTTTCACTATCTCCTGAAATTCCACAAAATGATAATAAAGAGATTTTTAAAATAGCACAAATCTACAAGGACTAATATCTAACAGAAGAGACAACAGAAACTAATTTTGAAAGCAGGAAAGCAAATGAATAATTGGTAACAGACTGCTAAGGAAGCTGAGAAAAACTGGACAAGGCTTAGAAGCAACATAATTTATACTACAGCCCCTGACAAGACTCTGGGATGATGGTCCCAGACGGCACTGGAAGCAACATGAAGGTAAAATAGGAAAATAGGTTGAAGTCTGTGAGTGAGGTGAAGTCTGGCAACCTGACCAGTCCTTATTCTATTGAGGCACATGATTGTCCTTTTCCCAGTCCAGAAGACTAGTGGTTTATTTTCTGCAGAAAGTAAAACAAGGTGTCTCTGGTCTGAGAGATACTGGACAGAGAGTAGGGTTAGAGTTAATTATCAGTGGATTAAGCATGTACTTGTATATTGAATATTGAGATCCTTTGCCCTACTTCACCTATATAACTTCTAGAATTTTGGAAGCCAGATAACAGAATTGAGCTTTCTTTTGGAAATGTGGTCAGTCCTAGAGGAAAGACCGAAGAATCCCAACATCGGGATCAGCTAAGGTCCCAGGGAGATCACCCTAAAATGAAGATCACAGTCAACAAGCTACACTCATGCACCTAAATTTTCCCATTCGTTTTCTGGTACTATCCCTTAAATGTGAGCAGGCAGGCAAATGTTATGAGATCTCAAGAAAAAAGTTGCTAGTATGAAAACTAGATGCCAAAATAGAAAAAAGTGACTTGCAAGGAAACAAAGAATACACAGTAAAAAGAAATCACACACAAGAAACAAACAAACAAACCAATCAGATCACTAAAATCCTCAGAGAAGATACTGCATCCATTAAATAAGAACAGGAGATTATAAGAACATTAATAAGAAAGAGCTCATGGAAATTAAAACTAAGAAAGCATAAACATATACTTCACCTAAATTGGTAGAAGAAAAGTTCAGTGAATCTACAGAAAGTAGTGAAGTAAAAAGACAAAGAAATGGAAAATAGTAGAGAAGATAAAGAGAGACAGACACTCAAATCAGGAGGAACAACATCTACACAGGAGTAATAGAAGTGAGAACATAAAACAACAGAAGGAAGGAAATTACCAACAAAATAAATTATAAGAACTCTTTCCCCAATAAAAAGACAAGCTTCCAGGCATGCTGAGAGCCCAATACAAGAATAAAAATAGACCCACCAAGGTGCATCATCATGAAAATTCAGAAGACTAAGAACAAGTAGAAGATTCTGCAAAATTCCAGAGAAAATATGGATTTACTATTAAAAAAAAAAATCAAGAATGAAAACAGCACTAGAATTCTAAACAACAGCACTAAGAGCTGGAAGACAATGGAGCAATACCATCAAAATTTCAGGAAGATTTTAGCAAATCTGCTCCACCAAAATAGGGACTAAGGGAAGAGACAAGACGATTAAAGGCACCAACAGAGAAAGGGCCAAAGAAATTTCCATGATGATGAAAAACTAGTCTTTTAAATCCAAAGGTATGGAACAAAGCTAGAGAAACCAGTCTGGATTAGACAGGTCATAAAGATCTGGAAGAGATTTCTTACATATACATGATTGATAGAATACTTAATGTGCTTGAAGGTACTGAAAGGAGTTTCACCACTGGGGGAAGGCTTTGTGGCTGGATATAAAAAAAGATTCACGGACTCTAGCTAAAACAGAATACTGTAGAGGAAAGGAAAATAAGATACATTACATGGCTCAACTGTGAAGAGCGATTACATAATCAAAATAATTAAAACAACTAATATTAATTTAAAATTACTGTATGAGAGGGAAATGAGAAGAATTCGAGTGTGTGGTGAGAGTGAAGGAGCTTAGAGGATCCATACTTGCCTGTTTGAAAACTCACTATAAAGCTACTGTAATCAAGACACAACAGACATACAGATTAATAGAACTGAGAATCCATAAGTGAACCCTCACATTTACAGTCACATGATTTTCAACAAAGGCACCAAGACAATTTGATGGGAGAAGGAACAGTTTTTTCAACAAATGGTCTTGGAGCAACCGAACATCCAATATGCAAAAGAATGAAGTTGCACCCCTACCCCTCCACCTCACATATTAATCCAAAATGGATCAAAAACATAAATTTAACAGTTAAACTTTAAAGCTCTTACAATAAAACAAAGGAAAAAATCTTCATGACCTTGGGATTAGGCAATGGTTTGATAAATAAGAGACACAAAGCACAACGAACAAAAGAAAAAGAGAAAACTGAATTTCACCCAAATTAAGAACTTTTGTGCTTAAAAGTACACCATCAAGAGAATGAAAAGTCAACCCACTATGGGCTTCGGATAATAATGATATGTCAATGCAAGCTTATCAATTTTAACAAATGTACCATTGGGGTGGAATGTTGGTAAAGGGAGGCTATATGTGTGTGAGGACATGGGCTATAAGGAAACTCTCTGTACTTTCTGCTCAATGTTGCTGAGTACCTAAAATGCTCTAAAAAAATAAAGATTATTAATTTTAAAAAGAAGTATCCATATGACAAGGCTGCTGTGAGGAATAAATATGAGATGCTGTAGGGAAAGTGCTTAGATTGATGCCTGACATATACTATTTATTCAGTAACTATTACCAATTAATAAAAAAAAAGTCAACCTACAGAACACAGGGAAATTTTTTTTTTTTTAAAGATTTATTTATTTGAGAGAGTGAGAGTGAGAGAGAGAAAGAGTACATGAGAGGGGGGAGGGTTAGAGGGAGAAGCAGGCTCCTCGCCAAGCAGGGAGCCCGATGCAGGACTCGATCCAGGGACTCCAGGATCATGACCTGAGCCGAAGGCAGTTGCTTAACCAACTGAGCCACCCAGGCGCCCTCACAGGGAAATTTTTGTAAATAGTATATCTTATAAGGGATTTGTATCTAGAATATATAAATAACTCCTATGGCAATAAAAAGACAACTCAATTAAAAACTGAGTAAAGGATCTGAATAGACTTTCCTCATATACAAATGGCCAATAAGCACATGTAAAGATCCTCATCATTAGCCAAAAACATCATGTAAATCAAAACCACAAAGAGATACCACTTCACCTCCCTTGGATGAATGTAACAAAAAATACAGACAATAACAGGTACTGATAAAGATGTAGAGAGAATGGAACTCTTATAGATTGCTGTTGGGAATATAAAATGGTATAGCTACTGTTTGGCAATTCTTCAAAAAAGTTAAACATATAATTAACATATGACTCAGAAATGCCACTCCCAGGTTTATATCCAAAATAATTTTAAACATATGCTCACACAAAAACATGTACATAAATATTCATGGCAACATTATTTACAATAGCCTGAAAGGGTCAACAGCTAAAGTGTCCATCAACTGATGTGTGAATAAATAATAAGTGATACATTCAAATGACGAGTTGTATTCAGCAATAAAAAGAGTGAAGTATCGGTATGTCGTACAACAAAGATGAACCTTAAAAACATGCCATATGTGAAAGAAGCCAGACATTAAAGATGACATTTATTTATTGTATGATTAATTTATATGAAATACCTAGAACAGGCAAATCTATACAGAAAGAAATAGATTAGTGATTGCCTAAGGGCTGGGGGGAGGAGCACGCAATGGGAATGGGGAGGGACTGCTAAAGGGTTTGGAGTTGCTCTCTGGAGACATGAAAATGTCCTAAAATTGACTGTGGTGAATATAGTACTAGAAGTCCTAGCCACAGCAATCAGACAACAAAAAGAAATAAAAGGCATCCGAATTGGCAAAGAAGAAGTCCAACTCTCACTCTTTGCAGGTGATATGATACTTTATGTGGAAAACCCAAAAGACTCCACCCCAAAACTGCTAGAACTCATACAGGAATTCAGTAAAGTGGCAGGAT